AGAAACATCCCTGAAAATTTCAAATGAATCCGTCAAATGGTTTGGCTGGAAACCTGTAGACAAGTCTTGAAAGTGAAGATTTTAGGATGGAAAATCCAAAATGGCCACCTTAAATTTTACCCAGAATGCCAAAAAACTAATCAGTTCTTAACTTTGATACGTAGAAACATCCCTGAAAATTTCAGATGAATCCGTCAAATGGTTTGGCTGGAAACCTGTAGACAAGTCTTGAAAGTGAAGATTTTAGGACGGAAAATCCAAAATGGCCACCTTAAAATTTACCCAGAATGCCCAAAAACTAATCAGTTCTTGACGTTGATATGTAGAAACATCCCTGAAATTTTCAGATGAATCCCTCAAATAGTTTGGCTGGAAACATGTAGACAATACTTGAAAGTGAAGATTTTAGGATGGAAAATCCAAAATGGCCACCTTAAGATTTACCCAGAATGTCCAAAAACTAATCAGTTCTTGATGTTGATATGTAGAAACATCCCTGAAAATTTCAGATGAATCCCTCAAATGGTTTGGCTGGAAACCTGTAGACAAGCTGAAAAGTGAGACGCCGCCCGCCTGCCGCCCGTCAAGCTGACTACAATATCGTACCTTTTGTTAGGTACGATAAACAAGGCACAGAAGTGAACAATATCGTACCTAAAACACAGCAGTGTGAAAGTGAAGATTTTAGGACGAAAAATCCAAAATGGCCACCTTAAAATTTACCCAGAATGTCCAAAAACTAATCAGTTCTTGATGTTGATATGTAGAAACATCCCTGTAAATTTCAAATGAATCCGTCAAATGGTTTGACTGGAAACCTGTAGACAAGTCTTGAAAGTAAAGATTTTAGGACGGAAAATTCAAAATGGCCACCTTAAATTTTACCCAGAATGCCAAAAAACTAATCAGTTCTTAACTTTGATACGTAGAAACATCCCTGAAAATTTCAGATGAATCTGTCAAATGGTTTGGCTGGAAACCTGTAGACAAGTCTTGAAAGTGAAGATTTTAGGACGGAAAATCCAAAATGGCCACCTTAAAATTTACCCAGAATGCCCAAAAACTAATCAGTTGTTAACTTTGATATGTAGAAACATCCCTGTAAATTTCAAATGAATCCGTCAAATGGTTTGGCTGGAAACCTGTAGACAAGTCTTGAAAGTGAAGATTTTAGGATGGAAAATCCAAAATGGCCACCTTAAATTTTACCCAGAATGCCAAAAAACTTATCAGTTCTTAACTTTGATACGTAGAAACATCCCTGAAAATTTCAGATGAATCCGTCAAATGGTTTGGCTGGAAACCTGTAGACAAGTCTTGAAAGTGAAGATTTTAGGACGGAAAATCCAAAATGGCCACCTTAAAGGATGTGTCTGGGTATATGCCCTTTTGGTCCCTCAGTCAAATGTATGTGAAATATGCTTTTTATTACTGTCAGTTATATTTGATAAGTATATTTACTTTTTTCACGAGTTTTGATGCATAATTAACCCCCTGCTGAGAGTCAGAATAAGTATCTTAACAAAAAAAAATAGTCATTATCATAGAAAAAACACCAATGGCAACATGTATGACTTACAAAGAAGAAATAACTTAAAACCCATGAAGAATTTAAAAGAAAACCATATTTTTGAAATAAATTTAAGGATTAAAATATTTTTCAAATTTTTGAATTTCCCGCCAAATTAATTTGAAGGGGGAAAAACAAGATGGCTGCCATTTGATGTAAGAAATATCAGAAAAAAAGTTGCTTCACTTTTAGTTTTCACAATGAGCACAGTTTTCCGGTTTAGGTTTTTTGACTGATTCTGACTCCTCATCACCAGGGTCATGTATAGAGATTATAAAATTGAAACCAAAATGTTGTGCTCAGCATGAATTTGACTGAAATATGCGTAACTTCACCAACACAATTGAAGTCTCAAAACTTGATGCTCAGTAACTTTGAGTGACTATAATCCCTTGATTACCCAGATAAACACCAATTCACTTATCCAGAAATACCATTCAATGTCTATACAAAGAAAGTAAGCAATGTTTTGGAGGATATGTTTCAAACCTTTTGTATAAATAATTCATTTAATATTTGCCATTGATTTTTTTTTCAAATCTGACAAAGTCGTATGCACTGTCTTTGATGCCAATATTCTTCATTAATTGTGATACAAATTGATATTTTTGTACTCTCAGAAGAAGGATACGATATTGAAGTTTAATAATATGTGTGATTGAGTTGGTTTTTCAGACATTACAATTTTCAATATTTTCGAAGTCGATACCCAGACTCATTCCCAGACTCATCCTTTTACCCAGAATGCCAAAAAACTAATCAGTTCTTAACTTTGATACGTAGAAACATCCCTGAAAATTTCAGATGAATCCGTCAAATGGTTTGGCTGGAAACCTGTAGACAAGTCTTGAAAGTGAAGATTTTAGGACGGAAAATCCAAAATGGCCACCTTAAAATTTACCCAGAATGCCCAAAAACTAATCAGTTCTTAACTTTGATACGTAAAAACATTCCTGAAAATTTCAGATGAATCCATCAAATGGTTTGGCTGGAAACCTGTAGACAAGTCTTGAAAGTGAAGATTTTAGGACGGAAAATCCAAAATGGCCACCTTAAAATTTACCCAGAATGCCCAAAAACTAATCAGTTCTTAACTTTGATACGTAGAAACATTCCTGAAAATTTCAGATGAATCTGTCAAATGGTTTGCCTGGAAACCTGTAGACAAGCTGAAAAGTGAGACGCCACCCGCCGCCCGCCCGCCCGCCGCCCGTCAAGCTGACGACAATATCGTACCTTTATTAGGTACGATAAAAAATGGTATAACTGGGAACACCGAGTGGTTTCATCTTTATCAGATGCTTTAAGTATCTACTACACAGTTATTCTACAATTATTGAGTTATCTGTACAATAACACCCAGTAATATTTCCGATATTATGGAGATCCGTGTTATATTTTTCAGAAAATCTTTTATCAGCCACACGTATAGCTGCCACATGTCTGTATGATAAACAAATTTGAATGTTTTGGATGTTTTTGAAATTTTGATTGTATCATAGGTCAAGGCATTAACATGACAAAATGTCACTACCTAGTCGCTGAAAACTTGTAGATGATTTTGAAATAACTTGGTCAACTCGAAGCAAGTTGAAAAAAGATCCGCTTGACCTTTTTTGACCTTGAGAAGCTCAAAGACGGTCAATCTCTAAAGTCAGATTTGAACTTATGATAACTTGTAGATGATTTTGAAAAAAATTGTTGAAAAAGTTGAAAAAAGACCTTTTTGACCCTTTTGACCTTGAAAAGGTCTTTGAAGTTCAAATCTTAAATATAAAGTCAGATTAGAACTTCTGAAAACTTGTAGATGATTTTGAAAAAAGCATTTCTTAAGTTATTGGAAGTTCTAAGAATTTGTTACAGAAGCCAAACGCCAACCACCAACCACCATCCACTGATCACCAACCGCCAATCACCAACCACTGCCACAAAAAACAGAAACCATAACAATATGTCACCACTTTTTGATGGTGACATAATAAACCCAACATTAGATCATTTCTAGTGAAATCATTTTATTCCCTTGTAGATATCAAATATCAACACTCATATGCTTTGATCACTTGTGTTGATATTTAATATCAACTCATCCATGAAAATGATATCTCTCAAAATGATGTGATATATGTATTTATCAACATTTTGATTCATTTGAAAAGTTTCTATGTGTAAAGTTATTACTTAAATGTGTCTTAAATGTGTCAAATATCCTAGGCAAAACAATAGTACAATAACGTCATTTTGAAGGGCAATATAGCGAAATATTGGACCAAAGGCCGAAAATTACCGGTCATTAATGCATTCTTGACCGGCAATATTGACCGCCACTATGATGGCACATATTGCTCAGGTCGATATAGTAAAATGAATGCCTTCTAAACTAGCACTAAAACCCCTAGAACTGGCCCGGCAAGGTGGTAAAAATCCCTTTTTACTTGAGATAAAATTCTTAACAGGAAAGAACAAAATGAGTGTCAATGCCTAATGCCTATGAGCATGACAATACCTAAAACATGTTTCCCGTATTATACTGTAGGTTTTTGGTTGATATATAATGATAAAGTATAAATAAGTGAACTCAGTTTGATTGTCCTACTCTTTATATTTAAAATTTTTTCTATCACCCTTCAGCCTATGTATTATATGTAGAATCAGCTAACGTTTAAAATGTGTTTGTTCAAGGACTTTTATACGTGAGATCAATACAACAAGAAACATTTCTCAATAGAAAGGGGATTCCCCGTTTCACTAATTGGAAATTCCAAATTTGTTCGAAAAACAAAACGAATAAAGTGATTAATATTGAAATAGGATGTAAACTCTTAACTGCTTGGTATAAAAGTCATTGGATAAAGTGGAAGAACATTGATTGATTCTACAAATTATAGGATGTAAACTCAGTATAGAGTCTATCTATTCATAAAAATACAAATAGCTATATGTAGATATCATATACATGTGTACATTTTAAACAACTTCTATTAGTTGGATAACTATATAATAATTTCCTGGCACCTGTTTGAATGTGAAGGTCTAAATATCATGAGGAAGGTACCTGAATTAATAAACAAAAGAGAACAGGCTTCAACATAAACAATTATTTAATCAATACAGGCTGTACTAGAATGAGCCCTCTAAGGATGGTAGGACTGAGCCCTCTAAGGATGGTAGGACATGGTGATGGCAATATATTCTCAAGCCAAGTACATAGTACATTAAGATAATTTATCTTATTAAATAAAAATGGGATATGTTATTCCTGATTGTTCCTGTTGACTTTGCCTAATTAATATCATCATAATAGTGTGATGATATATAATGCTTCAGACATTATTTAAATTTCATCATACAGACATAAGTGCTCAAACAAAGCAAATGCGTCTTAAGACGTTAAAGATTTTGAGTAAAAAAATTGAAATTACAAAATAAAAGTACATTTTACTCATTGCACATTATATGATAATGGGAGCAGGTAGTAGTAATAGTAACAGTAGTAGTCATAGTGGAAATGGATCAAGTAGCAGTAGTAGCGATAGTTCAGACTCAGAGAGTCCTGTGGTAAACACATCGTTAATCAAGAGCACTCTCACTACAACTGAAAAACAACAGTTATCTCAACATATAACTGAATTACACAACTTGGCTAAACTGAAACACAGCCAGAAAGACATAGACAGCCATGTACAGTATATCAGGACTCGTGTTATACAACCAATCCTTGATAAATTCAACAAAATGCAACCAGCATTAGCAGTGGATGATGTACTACTGAATGGAAGCATGTCAAATAAAAGTAAAATAGAATTTCCTAATGACATTGATTTTGTTCTCCCAATGGCTCTCTCCAGATATGTAGTGATCTCAGAAAAAGGTTATAGAGGTTGGTTACATGTAAAGTTACCTGATGCTCCTCACACTGATTTACTAAATCTCACCAAGGAACATCAAGAGTTAATACCATATGGCAATTCACTAAATACAGAATATTTAACTAAGAGTATTATACATAAAACTGTTGCAGAGTGTTTATCACAACTACACACTGAAGGTGTACTGATCTACAAGGGAGAGAAAGATCTAAAGTATAAGCCTGTAGAATCATCCCAGCTGGAAGAGAATGCAGTCATCCTGCATAATGAACCACATGGTCCTTGCATCCAACTCAGGGTGTGGGGACCATTGTGTGTAACTGACATAGACATTGCATTCTGTCTGAAAATACTCAATATACCTAAGCTGCCTCATACAGAGGACAACTTCTTTGTGGCATTGCCTATGGGATTTGACTGGGTGAAATCATTCTATGAGAAACCACACTTGCGGGCATCCAGGATAGATGATCATCATAGGATTATACTGAAAACACTGAAATATATTCTATCACAGTATGAGAAGACACTTGATGTTTATGATAAAACAGAGTTACATTCCCATGCACTATTCACCATAGTAAGATACCACCAGGAGCAATGTGATAACAATGCAGGAGAACCATCTATTGCTGAATGTTACTGTGACATCTCACACAATCTATGTAAGCTGTTGCTAGAATCTGTAGAGAATACAACAGAGGTTGAAGTAAGTGCTAGATTGCTTGATGATCTCTTTGATAAAGACTGTCCTGATATGTATATCTATGAATCAGGTGGTGATGGTATATATATGAGCATTGAAACAATATTATTCCTACTTGTCATGTACATTCTGTCAGAACTACTGAAATCATCACGTATAAGTTCTCCTGAGTTCTACTGTGAATATCTGGAACTGGTGTTTAGAGAGTGTAAGCTGGAATGCAAGAGACAAGATATACTGCAGAATCCAAACAGGAAGCTTACACCTAGTGAGAGGGAGGAGATCTCAAATGTAGAGGATATGAAGGAATTATTGAAATTTTATAATGATGATGATTATTCAGCTGTGGTTAATACAGAGAGAATTCTGTCAAAACTGAAACCCAAGATAATTTTATTGGAATCATTGACTTGTAGAGGTTGTTTTGAAATTAACCATATAAGGACCAGTGCATGCTGCTTTTGTGACTTTGTATTATGCTATAAGTGTAATTCAAAATGTAAATATATGCTGTGTTCATCATGCTTAAGCAACCTAGCAAGTTCTGGTGTATCTGAGGACACATTTGAGTTATATTCTTCATACAACCTTACAATCCCATCAGGATCAAAGGAACCCCCAACATCAAATGAATCTGAGGATGCACCTGCACTAAAAAAAAAAAAAATGAAAAAATCAACATGATGAAGATGATCAAAAGAGTAAATGAAAGCCATGGATTTATTATGACACATATTTGCAATCAGAAAGATTGTCTATATTGATACAAAGGTTATCATCACATGACTGAATATTCATATTGCAGTCAAAATGTAAACACTGTGGTCATGGTGACTATGTTAATCTATAGCCATTTTGAGAGCAGAATCAACAAAAGCCAAGAGGAAGATAATTCTATTCATGTAAGTAACATTTCTGTACATTCAATGTTTCCTAATGGTTATCTATCAAATAGGTAACTGCATCACTTTTGATATTTCCAGAGTATTGAATTTATATACACAACTGTTAACTCCAACTCGTAATACAAGGCCTATCTTTATCTCATGACAGGGCTTAACTTCGCCTAGTGACATGTAATGGCCCAACTTTATGTCATGGCCCAACTTTACCTGGTGACATGGCCGAACATCATGAAATGGCCTGACTTTCCCTGGTGACATGGACTAACTTCATGACATGGCCTGACTTAACCTGATAACATGGCCTAACTTCATGACATGACCGAACTTTACCTTATGACATGCCCCAACTTCATGACATGGCCTAACTTTTACTGATGAGATGGCCTTACTTAACCTGGAAATATGGCCTAACTATATAACATGACCTTTACAAGATGACATGGCCTTACTTTTCCCTGTGACATGTCCTAACTTCATATCATGGCCTAATTTTACCTGGTGACATGCCCATGCCCAACTTCATGACATGGCTTACCTTTACCAAGTAACATGGCCTCACTTAATGTTATGGCCTAACTTTACCTGATGACATGATAAAACTTCATAACATGGCATTTCTTGAACTTGTGACATGGCCAAACTTCGTGATATGGCCTCACTTTACCTGGTGGCATAGCCTAACTTTATGTCATGGCCAAATGTTACCTGGTGACATTGCCCAATTCATGACATGGCCTAACTTTCCCTGATGACATGGCCTTAGTTCATGACATGGCCTAATTTACCTTTACCCCAAAGAGCACTACCTCACTATCTCCCCTCAACACCTCCAAGAATGAATGGCAAGTCCCTGGCTCAACAAAGGTATGTTGAATGTTGATGTGGTGTTCTAATGTTGAGATTGGACTCTATTATTACAATATACAAACTGTACTTAAATGAGGAATCATAACTTCATGTATTTTAGAGTGGATGCATAAGCCCAAAGAGCACTACCTCACTATCTCCCCTCAACATCCCAAGAATGAATGGCAAGTCCCTGGCTCAACAAAGGTATGTTGAATGTTCATGTGATGTTCTAATGTTGAGACTGGACTCTATTATATCTACAAACTGTACCAAAATGATGAATCATAACTTCATGTATTTCAGAGTGGATGTGTTACCCTAAAGAGCACTGTCCCACAATTTCCCATTAACATCCCAAGAATGAATGGCAAGTCCCTGGCTCATCAAAGGTATGTTGAATGTTGATGTGATGTTCTAATGTTGAGACTGGACTCTACTTTATATAGAAACTGTACTTAAATGATGAATCATAACTCCATGTATTTCAGAGTGGATGCATTACCCATAAGAGCACTACCTCACTCTCTCCCCTCAACATCCCAAGAATGAATGGCAAGTCCCTGGCTCATCAAAGGTATGTTAAATGCTGACCATATTATAATCTTTATCTTGAGATATAAAACATACATTTAAAGTGAAAATTCCAGAAAGAACCAGGTGCTGCAAGTAATTCATAACTTCATGTATTTCAGAGTACTAGATGCATTACCCTAAAGAGCACTACCTCACTATCTCCCCTCAACATCCCAAGAATGAATGGCAAGTCCCTGGCTCATCAAAGGTATGTTGAATGTTGATGTGATGTTCTAATAATGAGACTGGACTCATTTATATACAAACTGTACTTAAATGATGAATCATAACTCCATGTATTTCAGAGTGGATGCATCACCCCAAAGAGCACTACCTCACTATCTCCCCTCAACATCCCAAGAATGAATGGCAAGTCCCTGGCTCATCAAAGGTATGTTGAATGTTGATGTGATGTTCTAATAATGAGACTGGACTCATTTATATACAAACTGTACTTAAATGATGAATCATAACTCCATGTATTTCAGAGTGGATGCATCACCCCAAAGAGCACTACCTCACTATCTCCCCTCAACATCCCATGAATGAATGGCAAGTCCCTGGCTCTTCAAAGGTATGTTAAATGTTAACCATATGATAATCTTTATTTTGAGATATAAAACATGCATTAAAAGTGAAAATTCCTTAAAGAACTAGACATTAAAGCAACGCCAAAGCGTAGTAAATCCCATTGAACAGCCATGGCTGGCATTTTTACAAACAAAGTATATGGCCACCTTCTACCAAAAGTGTCATTAGACAGTGTGCCATGCTTATAGTATTCAAATAGGAACAAAATTGCTCTACTACTTTTCGACTTATAGTAAAATACGTAAAAATGGTGACCATTTTTCAAAATGGCCAGCTTCTACCAAAAGTGTCATTAGAGAGTGTGCCATGCTTATAGTATTCACATATCAAAATATTAACAAAATCACATTTCTTCTTTTCGAGTTATAGTAAAATACGTTAAAATGGCGGCCATTTTTCAAAATGACCATCTTCTACCAAAGGTGTCATTAGACAGTACGCATGCTGACAGTATTCACATACCAAATATGAACAAAATCACTCCACTACTTTTCGAGTTACAGCAAAAATTGAATATAATGAGTAAAGGCCGCCATTTTTCAAGATGGCTGCCAAGTGCCTCTTTAATATCTTCATTTCTAGCTTTATTAATGTCCCATTTAATATTTTTACATTTAAAAAATATTACAGTTTTACATATTGCACCTCAATTACTGTAAAATCAGCTATAAAATAGCCACCATTTTTAAATGAGTTGCCATTTTGAAAATCTGCTTTCGATCAGAACTTCTACTCCCATAGGGTATATGTGTACAAAATATGAACAAAATCAGGCCAACGGTATTTGAGTTATTGCCCGGACAGACAGATGGACGTACGGACGCACGTACGGACAGTTGGACTGACAGAGGCGTTCCCTATATCCCTCCGAACGAAAGGGATAACCAGGTGCAGCAAGTAGTTTTTAGACAAACAGTATATTTGACCATAATAACCAGAAAAACAGCAACTCCACGGAGTTGCAAAACCCACCAAACAAAACATATTTTGATTATTAGTGGCCATCTTGAAAATTTCTTCTTGAGCAGAGCTTATTTGTCCCTGGGCATCAACATATTAAAATGTAAACCATATCCATCAGTTAGCATTTGAGTTATCAAAGATTACATTCCCTCTTTATGAAATATTGCAGCCATTTTGAAATTTAGCCACCATTTTGAAAATCTTTCTTGTACAGAGCTACTGTGTACCTTAGGCGTCAGCATATAAAATTTGAACCAAATCCATTTACTGCTATTTGAGTTATCAAAGTTTACATTTTTACGAAAAATGGCGGCTATTTTGATTTTGAAAGTCAGCTGCCATCTTGAAAATTCTTTGTCAAACAGAGCTACTGTGTCTCTAGGCATCATCACATAAAATTTGATCCAAATCAGTTCACTGGTATTTGAGTTATTGAAGATTACATTTTAAAATTCAACTGCCATCTTGGAAATTCTTTCTTGAACAAATCAGCATTGTCTCTAGGCATCATCATTTAAAATTTGATCCAAATCCATTCACTGGTATTTGAGTTATCAAAGATTAAATTTTGAAATTTAGCTACTATCTTGAATATTCTTTCTTGAACCAATCAACATTGTCCCTAGGAATCAAGTTGGTCAACCGGTATTTGAGTAATCGGTCTGACAAGCAAACAGAGGGACAAATGGAGGGATGAATCGATGAACTAATGGACGGATGGACAGCTTTCTATATCCCCCTCAAAATTCATTTGATGGCATAATTAACCAGGCAGATTTGAATTTTTTAGAATGTGTAGATGATTTTGAAGTAAAAATTAAGTCAATTTGAAGCAAGTTGACAAAAGACCTTTTTGACCTTAAGAAGGTCATTGAAAGTCAAATCTTAAATCTAAAGACAGATTTGACATTCTGTGAACTTGGAGATGATTTTTAAAAAAACATTTGGGCAATTTGAAGCAAGTTGAAAAAATACCTTTTTTGATCTATAGTCAGATTTGAACTTTTGAGAACTTGTAGATGATTTTGAAAAAATGGAAGCAATTTGAAAACATACCTTTTTGAGTTTGTCCTGTAGATGATTTAAAAAAAAGAATTTAGTCAATTTGAAGCATGTTGAAAAAATACGTTATTGACTTTTTTTACCTTGAGAAGGTAATCAAAGGTCAAATCTGTTTTGATCTTAAAGCAGATATGAAATGGTATTTTTAACCTAAAGGAATCAATATAATTTTTTGATAGATGTATTTGGACATGTTTTCTAATCAGTAGTGTGAAAACTATTTCACTCTAACGATCGTTATAGCTGCTTAATAAGCAATATTCGAATTGGTTGTGACGTTATTGGCCCCCACGTGATCTCTCACTGGCCCCCACGTGGACCGTTTTGGTCCATTAGATCATGACGTCATAATGCCAAAATGTTTTGTTATTTGTTTACACAACAATCCTATGGTTGCCGTGACGTTGTGATTACTATGGAACCAATAAACCAAAGCTATAATTTGTATATGACGTTACTAATCACGTGGGGGCCAATTTGATTTATCAGTTAGTTTTATTTCGTTATCTATGACCGTTAGCAGTTATCTAACATTTATTTTATAATGGCTATCGCAAGAACTCTACAGTGGGCTTACAATAGAGAAAACCGCATTTTTGTAGCTGCAAGTTGAGAAAAGCTATTTCATTTGTCCTTTAAGATTCATTGAAGATCAAATCTCAAATCTATAGTCACAAGAATTTATTCAATTTGAAGCAAGTTGAAGATCTTTTTGACCTTTTTTGACCTTCAGAAGGTCATTGAAGGTAAAATCTCAAATCTAAAGTCATATTTGAACTTCTGAGAACTTGTAGATGATTTTGAAGAAAAAAATTGGTGAATTTGAAGCAAGTTGAAAAAAAACCTTTTTGAACTATTCTAACCTTTTTGGACCTTGAGAAGGTCATTGAAGATCAAATCTTAAATCTTAAGTCAGATTTGAATTTCAGAAAACTTGAAGATGATTTTGAAAAAATTGAAGTGCAAGTTATTAGAAGTTGTAAGAATTTGTTACAGACACCGTGCAATTGCCAACCACTAACCACAACTGCAATGACCAACAGCCGTTACAAAAAATGGAGACCACAACAATATGTCACCACATTTTGGTAGTGACATAAAAAGTTGTCATTCTGAATATTAACAAGTACAACTTTTTGTTTTCTCAATAATCCCCTAAATCGTAGAAAGGAAAAGTAATGTTAACCATGTATACAATTTTACATAGTTTTTAGTTTTGTATGTAAAATAACTATTTGAAATTTTGTTCCAGTGCATCAACAATCTGCGATTGGAGTTGAACAGAAATGCTGAACAATATAATGACCTTTTATAGTACCAGTCAAATTGTCATGCGGTGAGTGTAAATTTAAGGGTTAAATTAAGTTTTAATAAATGTATTTGTCAACTTTGAAAATTTTATTCGAGAAGTTTTCCCATACACCCCATGTCATAAAATCACAAAAAGTGAGATATAATATTTTCTATTACTGGACATATTTTCATTTCTTTAATTATTATATACATAAGGGTAATATGAAAACTGATCCACTTTAACTGATGAATATTAAAAATTAAGGGAACTTTCTACTATTGACCCTATGCATCAGTGTGACGTCATGCCTTTGTCCGGCCAGAAAATATTGCTGGCCGTCTAGAAAACGTCATAAGCAACCAGTGCTCAAAATGGCGACGAAGTGATGAGAAAAAATTAAAAGAGTATGCCTAAATGCTGCGTTGCTGTTGAATGTTCGAATAGAGAACAAGTCGGCATTACGTTTTATCGCTTTCCGAGTGACAAGAAGTCACCTGTAAAAAGAAAGCTATGGATAAATGCTGTAAAAAGGCAAAACTGGGAACCAAAAGAACACGATCGACTTTGCAGCGCTCATTTCTTGTCAGGTACAGTGTAGTAATCGAAACAGACCTGGTTTTCTAAATAATAAGTAAAATAAAATTTTATTAATTATAAAGTTATCAGTAAATAATGCACATTTAAATACCACGCATTGTGTTAATACCGCTATCATTAAACACGAGGGAAGTAGGCCTATGTAAGTAATATTATGTGACTGTCGGTGAGCCACGTTGATTTTCACGGGTATTTCTGCATGTACTTTTTATGGAGAAAACTAAGAACTTAAAATAAACCTTTGTAATATTTGTTTGGATATTGATGTGCGCTTCACTCGAATATCAATCATAGTGTTTCCACCCCGTTTTAATTTTTAAAATTGAGATCCCTTTCTAACATTGATATTTCACACAGAAAAAAATGATTGAGACCATGGCGTACATGACATGGGTATATACAAATCCACTTATTTATCAAACACATATTTTCAGGACAAAAGTCAAATATTGAAGATCATCCCGACTTCATTCCCTCTGTCTTTTCGTACAAATCTAGCAAGGAGATCGAGAGGAAGCGAAAGAGCTTACATGCATATGAACGTCATGCCTCAAAGAGATGCAGAGTCACGAATATTGTTAAGTGTGAAACATTCGACACGTTCACTGGTACGAGTGTTGGTACACAGACCGACCTTTCTTGTTCCGAGTTGGATAATATTATGTGAGAAGTGATGGACCTAAAACGTGAAAACACGGAATTAAAGGAAAAGAGCAGACTCTGTACTACATTAAGAAATGAACTTGAGACACTCAAATCCGAGAACAACCACTTACAGCAAGAGATTCGAAACCTAGAAATTAACGAGGAAACGTTTAAAATAACGAAAACAAACTGAAATATTATACCGGGTTGCCAACATTTGCAGTCTTTTTGGCTCATCTTAACATGATAATTGGACACCTGGTCCCCAGAGCAACCATGAGTAAATCTTCCCAATTCATATTAACCTTGATGAGACTTCGTCTAAATCTTGGCACTCACGATTTAGCATACCGCTTTAACATCGATCAATCTACAGTTTCACGAATATTCTCTCACG